TGGGTTACCATTGGGTACTGTGGAATTCTTTCAATGTCCTGTGGGTGAGACCTGTATGTTTTCTTGCTTACATAGATGGAGTCTCCAGTGCCTGCAGCTATCTTCACAACTTTCAAAAATGACACCATGGAACTAAACATGACAAATACAACACAACCTCTCTGTAAATTTACAACTAATTATGTTTCCATATTTGCATACTCCCTAGTCTTTCTCATCAGTCTGGTGATGAACTGTATCACGATGCGTGTGTATTTTTGCACTAATCTGCGTGCCCAGTCCAGCATCACTGTTTACATGAAGAACCTGGCTACAGCTGACTTCTTTATTTGCCTTGGTTTACTTTTGCGCATTGTTTCCTCTGCCAATAATTCAGAGATAATGTTCAAAATTTACGTTGTTTTCACCCTCTAATGAGTCTATACAAATTGCGTAAAATGCGTTTCTAAAAAAAAATCACAAAAATGCATTGCACGTCTTTGCACACATGATCTGTAGATCTGCGATTGATAGTGCACCGAACGTGATACGTCAGTGCGCCATCGGAAGGCGTAACTATGACAGATCAAGCCTCAACATGCTCATGTTGCGCGGTTTTCACCCTCTAATGAGTCTGTAATAATGCGTTTCCAAAAAACACAAAAGTGCATTGCACGTCTTTGCACACGTGTTCTGTAGATCTGCAATTGATCAGACTGATCTCATGAAGTAGCGTGTGTATGACACGCCAATTCGTATTTCCATTTTTGGCGTGCTATCAAGACGCATAATCGCCTTTCAGCGTGTTTATGAACGCCGTTGACTTAACGTTATTATATATAAATATATGACTTACCTCAACCCCGTCCCTAAACCTAACCATCACTGGGGTTAATGGCATTTATGACTGGAGATTTGACTGCGTGTTCAGACACGCGGAATGACGCGGACTTTAATGGCGTAGACATATGCGCATACACGCGAATACACGCGGATAGCTCAAAATGCGTGGAGATAACACGCCACCTGACTCGAAAGTGGCGTATATGTTTACGCAAAAGTCATGATGACATGTTGAATTGATAGATACATCTTCCGATGGCTCATTGACGGATCCATGGACGATTACGTCCAGTGCACTATGACCCCAGTGTGTGTCGCATATAGTGACGTCAAAAGCTGCGTCTTTTGGCCATGCGTTTGACTCATAATATGTTTGTCTCCCACTTGACTCCCATCTGGTATATGTTCCTTCTTATCGTTATTGACTTTTTACCATTGCTTCATTCTATCATTTCTTTCTCGTTTATACACTCGCAAAAACAAGCACACACACACACACTGCACTGTCAAATGGACCTATATTCAGTCTGTTCAATGGTTGATACAACACATCCCACTGGTCACAACCGATCATAAAACTCACTTTTTCACACAGTTTTCAATGAAAATGTAAAAAAAAAAAAGATGATTCATTGTTTCAAAGGGATACTAATGACACATGATTTGGATATTTTTGTGTCTGGGAAAAAATTGGGATTACAGCTTTTTTCGGTTGCTAAACTCTAAATACAGTCTGCACTACCAACAGTCACCTGCGCTAAACAGTTCACATCACCTGCAAAACTCATTCCAAGAAACACAACTCTTACTTTAACACAAGGCTCAACACAGGCTCAGTGCAGTCAAACACTACACAACCCTCACTGTGATAACACACACTGTCACTCAGAACACACTGAGAGGAAAACACTAGCATCAAACACACCAGTACAGAAAATACAAACTTTTCATCTTTACAGTTTCAACAATTTCATTAGCTTCATACAAAGTAATATTTTCTTCAAAGAAAAGAGTGACATTCTTTCACATGATTTATTAACATTTCTAGAACATGACAATTCTTTAAAGGTGGAATACCTAAGATTTAGATGCCGCTAGAGGGCGCTACATTCAAAACAACAACAACGGCTTTGCTTGATGACGCCGTGGAGGAACGCGGAATGATGGGAACTGTTGTTTTCAACTCCACCGTGGATAAATCAGTCAGACGGGAATCGAAAATTAGTTGTCATGGATGAGGTAAAGTTCGATTTCTATAAATGTTGTGTTTAATGACATGCTTGTTTTTCATTAAACTGAAACAACCGCAAGAAAAGTCAGGTTTAAAAGTTAATTAGTTATCACAGATGTTACTGTACGAGTCACTGGACGAAGTGACTTATTTTTGTCTCAAATCGTTGCTAATGGATCCTGACTTCGCCCTATGCTGCAATATGCATTAGTTTTGCATTCATTTACAGAAATCAGCTGCTTGAATAACAATAGCTGATGTTATTAGATTTTTCAGGTGAGATTCTCAATTGATTCAGTTAACGGATGATGATCTGAGGTAAAGTTTTCAGAATGTAGACTCAGCAACGATTGTATTTAATTGTACAGTACAATAACATAGAACAGACGTTATCTTCCTTTCATGTCATTAAACATAACAATATTGCTGGCCATACACTGATGAGAAAGTGCGTGTCCGGTCTTACCTGGAGTTGTCCCAAACGTGGCGCGGCGCTTCTCGTCCGGTGTGCGACCCCCTTTACAGCCAACAGTTCACATTCCGAGAATAAATGAAAAGAATAATTGTGCTCCATTCCATAACAAATGCACGAAACAAGCTGACGTTTGTTGCTTGATAGACGCTAACGCACAACTACAACTACCGCATTTGTTTAGGACTACACATAGTACGAGCGGAAACCGAGGTATGACGCGATTGACTGGCGACTCTCACCTCACCCCTGCTCACACGCCCCGTTTCCTTGGTTAAAATCTAAATTTTCTCGCGATTTAAACATTGTTTGAAACATTTGGAATATTGTAAGTTATCATCTTAACTAAATATATAACACTGGCCTTGTGATTTTGGGATATTTTAATGCAAAAATCTTAGGTATTCCACCTTTAAAGAGTAACTAAACCCCTGGTCAGAGCCTGACTCCACCCACTAGCAATATTTGAAAAATGCTGAAAAAATGGGCAGACCCCAGCGGGGCCAGGGGGCGTGCACCTGAGACCCGCCGTGAGTGACAGCTGCTGTCAGACTCTAAAATAGAGCGAGACTGGAGTGACGCAAGTAGCTGCCTTTGCAACAGAGCGGACATTTGAAGTCGAGGACTTTTCTCCCTCACCTTCACCTTCACCTGAAGTGGATGAGGGTGAATTGTATGTAGACACAGGGCCAAATCCATTCGAGCCGCTGGCTCAAACTGCGGTCTTAACTCCCGCATCGCGACCGGCATCTGATGAGTTTTGTCGTCGAGTTGATCTCAATAGCGCACGCTCTGTGGGCATGTATTCATATTTATATTCTGCCGCTATGTGAAAAAATCCAGCAAAATGCACCGGCTCGTTTGTCGACCCCAGAGGATTAACTTTATCCTAACCATAAATTGTGATTAAAATATCCATGATCACTCACATCAAGACGCCGCTGCCGTGGAGGAGTCCATGCAGGACGAGCAGTGTTTGCCACTGCGTGTGGAGAAGCCCATGTCCACCTCTATTCCGTTACTATCCTGATCACTGTACTAAACACTGATAAATCTATGCTAACTTGAAGCTATCCTAACCGTACTATGCTACTAGCTACACAAAATAATCTAAATTATCTATATAATGCTATGCTAAATAGATGCAACAATACTCTATCCTGATTGTTTTCATAAATAACTATATAAATGCTATGCTAACTAGATGCTATTATATGCTATCCTGATCGTTTTCAGAAATCCAACTCCTGACTCGCTACAGTAGTTTTGACGGAACCAGATGCTTTTATACCAGGGGCTGCCAAGGGCGTGGTGAGCACGCACCAAGGGCGTGACAGAGTGGCGTCTGAGAGTTTGCTACGTCATCAAGTACCCCTACTGCAGGAGCTTTCCGTTTAACCTGAAGAGGGCAGCACTCAGACGTTTTTACACCATATATTTGAAAATCAAAACACTTTATACTCAATTGTCAAAAAATGTACTCGAATCAATGAACAGCATTTATGAAGCTCCATTCTTACAGATCATTAACTAAAAAAAGTTGTTTTGGTGTTTAGTTACCCTTTAAGGTAAATGAAAATTAGCAGTTTGCTTCAATAGTCTGTAGTAATTTATGGAATTACGGTAATGAGAAAAAAAAGCTAGAAACTAAAAGTACATACTGTAATGTGAGCAAATAACTGAGGGGCTGATCCTGCCTCTCTCAAGCATCAGGACACAGGTGTCGGACGCCTAGCCGAAGCGCACTCAGCAGTGTGTGAAAGGCACAAGGCTGAAATCTATTCTGTTTTGAATGTGTGGTTCACAGTTTTGACAGCAGTGTGTTAGCATTTGAACAAATTGTTGTGCAGGTTGTGGTTAAAGTCATGGGATAAGTGTGTAGAGTTTTGAGAACTGTGTTCAAGCAATGAAAAACGAACTAGAGTTTGGTCCACATGAACGGCTGCGGTGCAGACTGGAGTCAGAGTTTTGCACATGTAGCTCCAGTTGTGCTCACTGTCGTTTAGCAATCGAAAAAAAAAACTGTAATAAACTTTTTTTAAAACAAAAATAACTATTAACGTGAAAAAAAATCCTCATTTGGACAGATCCAGTTAAAAAATCATGATGCCGTTATAAGACAGTCAAAGAATCCAGTTTATCACAAAATATTGTACAGTATAAATGCTGATGAGGTTAAGTCAATATCCTGTTTATGTTTTTGCTTTGTCCTGTTTCTGAGGGGGATTCTGTGAAGGTTTTCTTTATATAAGTTGCTCATTACTTATCTTAAATCAGTGCATTAGGGATGTGTTTGAATAGTAAACTGTAAACGTAGATTCATGCGGCACAAACCTTGAACACGTTGGACTTAGAGAGAAGTCAACAAATACGCCTAACCATTTTCCGGAGCTCTGATTGGCTGCTGGAGTTGTCCTCCTGGTTATATGCAAAGAAGACGCTGGCTTGATCTCAGTATTCTGATTATAGTGGTCAGACTGCTGGTCGGGGGACATCTGAACTCAGTGTGAGCGAGGAACAATCATGGGCACATCATACTCGCAAGAGGACATTGAGAGGTTTGCTCTTGAAATGTATAATGACATTTTATGGCAAACACCATGCCTCTTACCAGATGTAGGCATAGATGAGTCTCTGCTGAAATATTCTGGTGACGACTCCAACGCGGTGCTACAGTCTTACTCTGATGGGATGCTCGACAGCATGCCGGGTTACGTCAGCGGATTTGGATCTGCCTTTGGTAACCTGAAATCAGTTCCGAATGCTGTCGGTCTTGGAGCTCTGGTGATTTCCATGATCATAGAGATCATCATCAAGAGCAGCACTCAGACGAGTGATAAAACTGACACTTACAGCCTGTTACGACGAGTGTTTGGGGAAGAGAAAGCTTCGAGTGTCCGAGACATAATGACGGAGTATCTGAAACGCCATCGCATGTTCATGACCAATGACCAACTATTACGGGAGGATATAAAGAGACTGGAAAAGCAGCTGAGCCAACATCTCACCATCCTCAGGAACTCCCTTCTGCAAGACGGACAAATGAGCAGCCGCGGGCTCAAGATCTGGGTCAACGGAGCCGCCTTCCACGTCCAGATGCTGATCCACGAGGTTCGCCTGGGTGTTAAGGCTGATAAAACTGTATCAGACTGTGTTTTTGTAATCAACGCTGCAATCGATGTGTATTCGCAGTCCCTGGATCTTTTGCTGGAGAAATACAAGCCCTACAAGATCAATTCAAATATGTGGAAAGTGGAATCTTATCCGTATATTGGTGATGGTTTTGTTGATCTTTGTGGTAACCCGAGCAGATAAAGATGCACGCAGACGTTGCTGTTTAGCCTTTTTTAATAAACTCAGCAGACGGTACAGAAAAGCGGCTTGCAAAAACGGCCACAACCAAAACATCCGGGGAGCCCCCCCACTTAACTAGGACCCGCGTGAAACACAATCACAAAACAAAGGTTCCGGGTTCCACCCCGGCCTACATAGCCAATAGTCCCTCTGCAACACTTCTCCCTCTTTAAGTGCAAACATAAAACATTAAGACACACTAAAAACATAAGTGCCTTTAGGAAAAACATTGGTACCAATATGAACATCAGTTTTTTTTTTTTTTTTTAACAACCAACACTCTTATATAAGGTATCTTTAATATTTGCATTTATAACTCAACATAACAGTCTGTTTGGAGGTTTGTGTTGTCTCTTAGATCTCCTAAGCTCAGGAATAGTATCCTCCGAACTGGAGGAAAGCTCTGGTCCCCCAAGTAGGCTCTGAGCAGGGTCAGCCGAAGCTGCTTGCTCCGACAGTTCATCAGGTGCCTCCTGTGAGGGCTCAGACAGACCCTCATGTGACATTTCCGCGTGCCCTGGATCGACTGGTACGGCGTCCTCAGAGCCGCCCACACTGTCTCTGCATGAAACCCCGTGGGCACTCTTCCCTCCCCCATCATGGCGGACCCTCAAGTGATCTTGGTGCCTGCGCACCTGCCTACCATCACATAATTCCACAACAAAAGATACCGGCCCTGTCTGGCGGTGGATAACCCCTGGCAACCAGAGTGCACCTATGGCAAAGTTCTTGACATATACCTTGTCCCCAGGGTAAAAATGTCTCTCTTTAGCATGTTGGTCCCGCCTTGCTTTTTGCTCCTCCTGATTCCTGGCAACCCTCGCTCTGATGTCTGGCTGGAGGAGGTCTAGATGAGACTTTGGTCTCCTCCCCAGCAACATCTCAGCTGGAGCCACTCCCGTAGTTGTGTGTGGAGTAATCCTGTATTGAAACAGGAAGCGTGTGAGCTTGGTTTCCAGAGATTGTCCTGACATCTTCCGCAGCCCCTCTTTGAAAGTCTCCACAGCCCGCTCTGCCAAGCCGTTGGACGCGGGATGATAGGGGGCAGTGCAGACATGGCGAATCCCATTTCTATTCATAAATTCCTTGAAAACCTCGCTGGTGAAAGTAGGCCCGTTGTCCGTCACAATTGTGTCTGGCAACCCATGTGTTGCGAAAATGCTTCTCAGGGTGTCTGTAGTAGTAGGTGCAGTAATGTTTGACATTATCTGTGCCTCGAGCCACTTTGAGTGCGCGTCCACTAGCACTAAAAACATCCGACCCATAAATGGGCCAGCAAAATCCAGGTGAAGTCTGGACCACGGACGGCCGGGCCACTGCCATGGGTGCAGTGGCGCTGCTGCAGGCATCTTCAGGTTGCTTTGACACTGAGAACATCCCTTCACCCTTTCTTCCAAGGCACTGTCCATCCCAGGCCACCACACAAATGATCTGGCAAGACTTTTCATACGGGAGACCCCCGGGTGGGCCTCATGTAGCTCCTCCATCACTTGAGCCCGCCCAGGAGGTGGGACAATCACTCTGGAACCCCAGAGGAGACAGCCATCAAGGACACTTAATTCCAGTTTGCGCTTGACGTAAGGTTTGAACCCCTCCTGCTCCACATTGGAAGGCCACCCCTGCATCACCCACCTCTTCACCTGCGACAACACTGGGTCTCTTTCAGTCCACAGCTTTATTTGCTTTGCTGTCACTGGAGCCTGGGACAGTCTGTCCATCAGAAAAACAGTCTCTGGGGGAAAGCCTGTGTGGTGTGGTGTGTCTGGGAGAGGCAGACGGCTAAAAGCATCAGCATTTGCATTGTCGCTACCCGCCTTGTACTCTATGCTATACTGGTATGCTGACAGGGTTAATGCCCAGCGCTGTATTCTTGCTGAGGCCATGGGTGGAATGCCTTTTTTTTCACTGAACAGACCCATTAGAGGCTTATGGTCTGTGAAGATAGTAAAAGGGCGACCAAACAGGTAGTGGTGGAAACGCTTGACTGCAAAAACAACCGCCAGCCCCTCCTTTTCTAATTGCGAGTACCCCTTTTCTGCCGCAGCAAGAGTACGTGACACATAGCTGATTGGCTTTTCGCTTCCATCCTCCATGCGGTGCGAAAGAACGGCACCTAGTCCATACGGGGAGGCATCACACGATAGAATTACCTCCTTGTCTGGGTCAAAGTGTACCAGTTGAGTGTAACAGTCCCTTTACATGCTGGAAGGCGTCGTCCTGATCCTGCTGCCATCTCCACACACAGCCTTTGTGTAGCAGCAGGTAGAGTGGGGCCAGAACGGTCGAGAGGTCTGGTAAAAACTTCCCATAATAGTTCACTAGACCCAGGAACGACCTGAGCTCCGCAACGTCCTTTGGTGTTGGAGCTTCCTTAATTGCTCTCACTTTGTCTTCGACTGGAGACAAACCCTGAGCTGAAATCCGATGGCCCAGATATGTGACACTAGGAGCCTGAAAAACACACTTACTGCACTTCAGACGTAGCCCCGCCTCAGACATTCTCTTTAACACCAGTTCAAGGTTTCGCAGGTGTTCTTCTTCGGTTTTACCTGTGACGAGAATGTCGTCCAGGTAAACAGCTACCTGGGGAATGTTCTGAAACAGATTGTCCATGGTGCGTTGGAAAATAGCCGGGCTTGAGGCAACGCCAAACACTAGACGGTTATATTTGAATAGGCCCTTGTGAGTGTTTATGGTCACATATTGTTTAGAGTCTTCATCCAGTAAAAGTTGCTGATATGCGTGACTCATGTCTAGTTTAGTGAATGTTTTTCCACCTGCGAGTGTCGCAAATAGGTCCTCCACTCGCGGTAGGGGGTATGTGTCGAGTTGTGAGGCCTGATTAATGGTCATTTTGTAATCCCCACATATGCGCACTTCCCCATCCTCCTTCACCACTGGCACTATTGGGGCTGCCCAGTCAGAAAACTCCACGGGCTCGATCACCCCTGCCCTTTGTAGCCTTTCTAACACCGCCTCCACCTTTGCTTTCATGGCATATGGTACCGTTCGCGGTTTGAAGAAACGAGGTTGTGCTTTGGGGTCAACACACAGTTTAACTGTGGTCCCTCGGAGGGTACCCAGTTCATCTTTAAAAACATCCGCATACTTCCCTATGATGTCTTGTACCACAGTGGTATGTTTGATTTCACCCCAGATCTGTCCCCAATTCAGGTGAATTTTCTGGAGGAGATCCCGCCCCAACAAGCTGGGTCCCTCCCCCTCAACCACCAGCAGTGTCGCCGCAGCCTGCTGTTCCTGATACACAATGTCCACCTTGATTGCCCCCGCGAGTGGAATGCACTCACCCGTATACGTTCTGAGCCTAACACTCGTCTCTTCCATTGCTGGTGCACCCCCTGAGCTCCACAACCTGTTGAACGTGGTTTGACTGATTACTGAAGCTGAGGCCCCCGTGTCCACTTCCATGTTCAGCTCTTTGCCATTTACTGTAATTGTTGCGTATATGGGCTGAGCCCGGGGCTGGTCACGGATATTAAACATGTTGAATGAGCACTGCTCCTCCAAATCCTCACTCTGCAGGTGATGTGTGTTGGGCTTAGATGCTTTTCCCCATCCTTTTGTCTGTTTAGTTTTAGCACCCCTGCACTTTTTTTCAATATGCCCTCTTTTCTGGCAATTATGGCAAACGGCGTCTTTAAAGCCACAGTCATTTGCAAAATGTGGACCCCCACAACGATAACACTCCGTGAGTTTTCCTGAAACACTTTTGCCTTCTTTTGCTACAAAATGTGCAGTATCTGATAGCGTCCCTCCGCCTGCATTTTTTATGTCAATCGCGTTATTTGCCGCCGTTTTCATTGCTAGGGCAATATCTAAAGCCTTTTTGAAAGTCAGTGTGGCTTCACCCAATAAGCGGCGCTGTATGACATCATCGTTAATCCCACAGACTAACCTGTCCCGCAACATGTCCTCCAGCACCGCCCTGAACTCACAGTGCTCGGATAGCCGTCTCAGCTCCGCCACGAACTCCGCCACTGTCACTCCTGGCTTGCGTGAATGCGTGTGAAACTTGAAACGCTGCACAATCACCGAGGGCTTGGGATTGAGGTGATTTTGCACCATCTCCACAATTTCCTTAAACCCGATCTCTCCCGGTTTCTGCGGCGTTGCCAGATTTCGGATCAGTCTGTACGTTTTAGCCCCGCACACACTCAGAAGAATTGATCGTTGCTTCTCCCCATCCACAATGTCATTAGCCAGGAAAAAGTGCTCCAGTCTCTCGACATATTCCACCCAGTCGCCGTCCTTCTCAGAGAACTCACTGAGCGAGCCGACCGTAGCCGTCATAGTTTTTGTTTAATTATGCGCCAACTTCTTTGCCGCCGAACCGGCTGACTTACTGGGACCTTGGTTTGGTTAATATCGGTTTTAATCCTCGTCGCCAGTGTGGTAACCCGAGCAGATAAAGATGCACGCAGACGTTGCTGTTTAGCCTTTTTTAATAAACTCAGCAGACGGTACAGAAAAGCGGCTTGCAAAAACGGCCACAACCAAAACATCCGGGGAGCCCCCCCACTTAACTAGGACCCGCGTGAAACACAATCACAAAACAAAGGTTCCGGGTTCCACCCCGGCCTACATAGCCAATAGTCCCTCTGCAACAATCTTGATAAATGTTTAATGTATAATGATGAAATTGAAGGATGTAAAACTAGTCTGCGTAACAAAGATCATTGGTTGTGTGGTGTTAAAAAAAGAATTATGGCGTCTTTTATGGATATTGTTTTCTCAAAATATGAACCGATCATAGGTTTAAAGAGGTATTTTTCGAATGTCAAAAACAATCTCAACTCTTTAATCCATGAGCGTGGTTCATTCGCTGTGCCATCCGCTGCAGGCTAGTGTAGCTATATGGTAGATAAGCTCAGATGCCGGAGTGTGCACTCATATGTAGAGGGACTCTTCAGTACACCGGGCCTGGGCTGTTGATCTGTACACGCATTAGTCGAGTGTTCAGTTCTAAGACTGTGTAGAAGGAGCTTTAAGTGCTTGAATTTGATTTGATTTGAAATTTATGTCCTGAAAAACAGCCATATTAATGACAACGTACTTGAAAAGTGCTTGGATTATTGAAAGAATATATGTGAAAATAGTGTTTAATTTGATCGATAATACAATCTCTTCGTGCATAATGATCGCTGTCTGTCTGATATGGATATAGCGGTAATATATCCAGTATATGATACAGCTTTCATTCTTCAGGTGAATCATTTATGCGTCAGTTTATGAAAATCAGTTTTAACCCATTAAATCCCAACAGTTTCATTTCTAAGGCTATAAAAATGTTACTGAATAATCTATTAATGCATTTCCAGCAGATATTGAAATAATAAAGGGTCTTAATAGGGCTGTGAATCTTTGGGTAGACGGCGAATCGATTCGATTCACGATTCATGGGTTTTCGATTCGTTTCAAGAACGATTTGTGCAAATTCAGAACGATTCAATTCGATGCGATTCACATCCAAATTCGATGCGATTCGATTAATTCGATTCGATTCTTAATTTTTCATATGCATTATAGTATTATTTCAATGCTTCACCCAATGGGTTTTTGTCTGGGTTTGAATTAGCCTACACAGCGGCGTTCAGGGGTCAGATAGTGGGGATTTTGTCCATTGTTAATAGTTAGTTCATGTTTGTTTTTAATTTTAATGAATATATTATTATGAAAAAAAAATCAATGGCCTACAAATTAGCATTTGTAGAAACCTACCTAAGTAGCCAATATTTTGAAAAAGGCTTTTAAAGTATTGCATTAAATGACTAATTTTGCATTAAAACTAATACATGACGTTTTCATTAGTTTCATTTTGCGTCCTCTCAGTGCACTCGTTAACATCTTTTCACTGGATTTTGCTCGCGCTCGGTCCCATAGCTCTCATGTAACTACAGTTCTCTTACGAGAGGTTCTCTCGTATTGCGTAAGCTAGCTTACGCTACGGGAAAGATTCATCTTTGCTGAGAAGTTGAAGCCAAAAAATTATTCCATAATTTTGTAATCATTGTCAACGCAGTCTCTTCTGAGGCAGACCATGAGCGGGCTAGCTAGCGGCTCATTGGTTCGCTCAGAGAGAATGCACGAACCTATGGGAGAGCGGCACCGAGTCCGCGGCTAATGAGCGGACGGCGGTCGCTCACTGCGTCAGAGCCCGCCAAAAGGGGCGTGGCTACAGTGTATAAAGGTAGCTCTCCCAGGCTCGTTCGTCGATTCTTCATCATTCAGCGAGCTACACGCATCCGCTGTCCTGGGAAGAAGCCGCCGTCGTCGAGAGGGCACCTTCTAGCAAGCTCCGGAGTCTGAGGAAGCCGGCCGTCTGCCACCTTCAGCCGCCCAGCAAGCTAGCGTCATCCGACGCGTATCCTTTATTCCATTTCCTTTCAAAAAAGAGCACGAGCGTCTTTTTCAAGATGCCTCGAATTTCCTGCGGCTCATGCCGCTCTTCACTCGAGGAAGGAGAACGCCACCCCATCTGCGTTCTCTGTCTCGGAGTGGATCACGCAGAGCTCGCCCTTGCCTACGGAGGATGCGACCACTGCGAGGACCTGCCTCTGTCCTCCCTGCGGGCACAACTGCAGGCGGTCAAAACCGCTCCCGCGCCGCCTCTCACTTCGCCGCGGAAGAAGAAACACCGCTCCCAGAGGCCGCCGGAGCCCCCTTGCGGATCCATGCGGGCCGCCGCCGCCGCCCACCGACCGCTCTCCCTCTCCGCCCCAGCCGGACATACAGTTGCCGCCGAGTGGCCGCTCTGTCGCCTCCGACGACACCACGGATGAGAAGGACTCCTGTTCGCTGCACGCTTCTGACAGCGAGGACTGGTCGTCGATTGGCTCATCGACGAGAGAGTCTGCGGGGACCCGCGCAGGCATCGAGGAGGAACTAACGCGCCTCCTTCCACAGGCCGTCGACCGCCTGGGTCTCGAGTGGTCTCCTCCCCCCGAGCAACCACCGAACCGCATGGATGGTAAATTCCTGCACCGGCGCCCGGCCCCCGCCTGCAGCCGGGCTGCACCATTCCTGCCTGAGCTGCACAACGAGCTCACAAGGTCCTGGAATGCCCCTCTTTCGGCTCGTAACCGCTCCGATGTGTCCGCTTCGCTGCGCTCAGTGGATGGAGCCGCCGAGAAGGGTTATACTGCCATGCCGCCCGTCGAGGACCTGGTTGCCGCTCATCTTTGCCCGCCCTCTGCTAGATGGCGTTCTTCCCCTACGCTTCCTTCAAAAGCGTGCAGAGCGACCTCTAACTTTCATGCTCGCACCTATGCTGCCGCCGGACAGGCCGCTTCAGTGCTGCATTCCATGTCAGTCCTCCAAGTGCTCCAGAGCGACATCTTGTGCGAGATGGCGAACAGCGGTAGGAACCCGCCCATCCTCTCGGATATGAGAAGCGCTACGGATCTTTTCCCTTCGCGCCACTAAAGCCGCCGCACAAGCCCTGGGGAAATGCATGGCCGCCTCGCTCTCGCACTGACAGCCGCCGCAGACAGCCTCCTCCCCGGGGGCCTCGACCCAAGATCACGCTGAAGCCTGATCAACAGAAGTCTGCCTAGCACAGCTGAGAAAAAGACGGCTCTCTCCCGCTGCGGCCGGACCGCCGTCAAAGCTTCGCCCTCTGTTAGTCCCCGTCTCATCGCCGACTACAGTAGAGTTCACCGCCACAAACAAGCCGGTCTCCCTGCCCACTTGCGAGCGACTAAAAGCCGTTTTCACGGCTACCCAGAGAGTTCACAAAAAGAGCATAAAAGCCTCAAGTGTAATAAATGTGCCCACAAGCATGTGTTCACGTATACACACAAGCACCATATGCCCGGGTCTCACACAGAGCCCATTCTCACGGAGCTATCCGCTCTAGTAGCAGAGAACATAAACACGCCTACGAGCCCATGCGCGTGTCCCCCCTCTGCTCGCTCTGTCACACGGCCCATAAACTCCTCTCTGAGTGTAAGTCCCGTTGCCTACCGCATTATAAGCGCGCCCACACCCAGTGCCGAGCCCGCTATGTGCAGCAACCAGGGCGAAATCGCCATTTAACCGCTAGCCGCATGCTGCGAAGCGTGGGAAGCCATCCCCGGCATCTCCCCGTGGGTTTTAAGCATCATAAAGAATGGCTATCGATTACAGTTTCGTCGCCGCCCACGCGGCTCGAATCCACTGTCAGCCCAGCTGCTATGAACACGCATCCTTTTGTGGTCCCAGAGTCACCTGCTCTCGCTCAGAGCGACGCACGTACCGGGCCATCTGAACGACGGTCCAGACATGCTGTCCAGGAACCTTGTCTCCCCCGGAGAATGGTCCCTGCACGCTCAAACAGTCCAAACACTGTGGCGCCTATTCGGCAGAGCGGAGATAGATCTTTTCGCGTCAGAAGAGAACGCTCACTGCCCAATATTCTTTTCAAAGAGCGAGGATGCGTTAGCCCAGGACTGGCCCCGCCGCCCGCTCTATGCTTTTCCCCCGATTTCTCTGCTACCACAGGTCATTCAGAGAATCAGGGACTCACGGCACTCGGTGCTCCTCATAGCCCCGCGCTGGGAGAATCAGATTTGGTTCCCGGAGCTTACGCAGCTGTCACAGACAGCCCCGTGGCCCATTCCAATCAGAGCAGATCTCCTCACTCAAGCCCGCGGCTCGATCTGGCATCCCCATCCACAGCGCTGGGCGCTTCATGCATGGGTGACCAACGACTACGCGTCGAATTGCCAGAAGGGGTTCTGAACACGATCAAACACGCCAGAGCGGAATCTACCAGAAAGCTCTATGCTGCAAAATGGTCTGTGTTCTCTAAATGGTGCACCGACAAAAATTTGGACCCACGGATGTGCGAGGTTTCGTCTTTGCTCGTGTTCCTTCAGGAGATGCTGGATAAGGGCTGGTCCCCATCCACTCTTAAGGTTTACGTGGCAGCCGTCGCGGCGTTCGTTGAACCCCGGCGCGCCCAGTCTTTGGGCAAAGACGAGCTAATCATCCGCTTCCTCAGGGGAGCCAGAAGGATGACCCCCCCCCCTCGCCCCCCTACGGTGCCGGTCTGGGATCTTTCTATAGTTCTAGAAGCTTTGAAAGCCCCACCGTTTGAACCATTTGAGTCCGTGGAGCTAAAATACCTCTCGCTAAAAACCGTTCTTCTGACTGCACTCGCCTCAGTAAAACGTGTGGGGGACATTCACGCGCTGTCTTCGAGCGCCGCGTGCCTTGAGTTTGGACCGAATGACTCCATCGTCATTCTGAAACCTAGACACGGTTATGTTCCGAAAGCGATTGGAAAGCGATAGCACTTTTGTCAGATTTTATAACTTGGAAGTTCCCGCCTTACAGGCTAAAATTCTGGCGGTCTAGTTCTATACAGCTCTCCTATTGAAAGCCGCACTATTGGGTGTTCCATCACAACCGGCTCACCCCTTGTGTTCCCCTATGTGCTTATGCATTATACGTTCACGGCCCGCTACGCCGGCCGCCTTAGGGCGTTTTGCACTAGATGATAACGGCCGCTATGCTGGCCGCCTTATTATCTTCGTCCACTTAAGATTCCCCCGGTTTTCCCCCCTGGGATGCTTAGTGGTTACATAGCGCGCACGGCGTTGACCAGGTGTTCCCGTAGCGTAAGCTAGCTTACGCAATACGAGAGAACCTCTCGTAAGAGAACGAATCGGTTACCTAACGTAACCTCGGTTCTCTCTAGATGAGGGAACGAGTATTGCGTTCCCGGCCGTGCTTGCGCCACCAGCGTTTCGCTTCATGCTGACAGAATCGACGAACGAGCCTGGGAGAGCTACCTTTATACACTGTAGCCACGCCCCTTTTGGCGGGCTCTGACGCAGTGAGCGAGCGCCGTCCGCTCATTGGGCGCGGACTCAGCGCCGCTCTCCCATAGGTTCGTGCATTCTCTCTGAGCGAACCAATGAGCCGCTAGCTAGTCCGCTCATGGTCTGCCTCAGAAGAGACTGCGTTGACAATGATTACAAAATTATGGAATAATTTTTTGGCTTCAACTTCTCAGCAAAGATGAATCTTTCCCGTAGCGTAAGCTAGCTTACGCAATACTCGTTCCCTCATCTAGAGAGAACCGAGGTTACGTTAGGTAACCGATTCGATTTTTGAGCAGTCCATGTTTGAACTCTCAGCTGAGCTCTCTGTCGAG